TATCAAGCCATTTCCATATTATGCACGTCGAGACGCATTTCCAAATAAAACGCACAGGACAGATACTATCAGTTATTAATAATAATGTGCAATGGTGGTAACGTGAATCTCAGGACATCATTTCGGGACGAGCTGTACGCAGTATGGGTATTAATAAATTTTCGTCGTCTCGTTGCTTCCGGCTCAGTGAGACACTTCGCCTGCGTGGGAGTAATGTCGCCACCTTGCCCGTAGCGTGCTTGTGGGCTTATTCAAAAGTGGTCGCACGTACAACCGATATCTTATTCTCGATTGCCGCGTTTGTTTTTCTTACGGTATATCCCACTGGTTGCCAGCGACATTCTTCGCTGGCACCGCGTAATTTCGCCGACGTATTCCGCGCCGTTTTATCGGACTGAGATTGCGCCTAACAACGGGTTCATCGCAACGAGCTAACCTAAATCGATCACTGCATTTCGTAGCCAATCCGCAATCTATGAGGTTGCATGTGCTCTCCACTTTGGTTCCCTCAGACTCTACTATTTTCTCCGTGCATAACACATGGTATCAAAAAGTCACTGGAAAACATGAATCCACCGTATGCAATGTTAGTGATTTTTTTGCTCTTTGTTTGCTTTGCAATGCTGTGACTTGATGTTACGTCACATGTGTACAGCTGTACGCGTATTATAAGTATATCATTCAAATCTTTTAATTCAGTAACACAATACATAAAGAATTATAGCAATTATTTGATTTTTTTATTGTTACATTCGGCATTGAAATTTAGATTACTTATTTCGACTTGCTTTTTATCGAAGAAACGTTAGTAGTTATATTTGCACAAAACGGCTGAATCTCCTCTGTAAGCGGCTTGTCTATCTATTTAGTCACACTTCTAGCTCCCAGCACTAACTTCGAATGAAATACTGCGTCGTCTCTGTTGCTCATTTGCGAGCGTCAACCCTTAGTTTATTTATGCCATCAGGTTCTAACATGTATTTACGATTGTTGAGGTTTCCGTCGTCATACCCCGAAAGACCGCGTTGGCTTTCCCCTAAAAGAGAAACGGTAGTGGCAGTGTAACGCCGCGCTCTTCGTTAGTCTCCGTTGTATATAACTTATTAATTACGGTTGACTAATGCGTTCCAGCTGTGCCACGTAGCAACATCCTACCGTCTCCCTTCGTCCGCCAACCATCCTCCAACTTTCTCCCAGTGCTTTCTCGGCATCCCTTAAGAGAGGAAAGAGAGTAAGAAGAGAGTAGGTAGGAGGAGACGTCCCGGCAGGAACGAGACGAAGGTCCTGGTAAAGCAAGAAAGGAGGGGAAACGTAGGAGGGAGAGGTGCGGTAGAAGGTGGGAGAGAAGAGAGTAAAGCGCGAGGGACGTTAGGCAGTAACTCACGCCCCCGAGAGGATTACCTACCTACCTTGGCAAGGCTGGAGGAGGGTATATCCCACGTTGAGCTACGATCTTGCTGCGTAGCTACGCGTTCCTCATACCAAGTGTCTCCGGTACTCCCGTACCGCGCGCAAACAGGGTTCCTCGAGGGCGTGAGCGCGCTTCGAATGGCACCGGAACACCGAAACTGGTGACACGTGAACGAATTGTAACGCCTCAAATGATACGGAAAATTGTTCTAGATTGTACGCAAAAAAAAAAAGGTGAATCTAATTAGACTAATTCTTAAGGGAATGCTCTAGTCGTCTAGGTTACCAACCTGATTTCATTTTCTTTTCTACACAATATTCCTATATCGTACTGTTTTCTTCTTTCTGTCAATCCGATTGTTGATTTTAGTATATATATATTATTAGTTCTACCTGGATAGGGATGACCGATAGAGAGTATGTTTTCATCGGAGATCGACAGGCACCAATATTCCTTTAATGTAAAGAGGCATTACATATTGTATGTGTAACCATATCCATTCCCTTAATTCTTGCGGCCAAGTTTGTGGAGAAGTATTTGTATAACGTACTCTTACATCGATACTGAACATTATTTAATTTGAAGCAAGTAACATGACAGGTTACCACGATTAATGTACCATTAGTCTTACGTGCAAGAACTGTCCACTGTTGCAGAAACTTGAGAGGGTGAACGTACAGGAAATATTTCAGAAGGGAAGTCCTTCATGGACCCAATTCACTTACTTTGATTTGATTGGTCCCGTATATGATTCGGCTCTGTATATGCGTGTGCGTAGTGCGTAGTAGAGGGAATCGGGAAAGGAGTGAGGGATACCGATACTTTGGCATCGTGTTTTGCGAAGTTATACCGGCAAATCCCTAGCAGCAATCAATGTATTGGCTCTTCTTATTAGAGTTGGCAACCAGTTAAGTCGCTCCCTGCCTCAGTTTATGGTCGAATACGTCGGAATTGGGTAGATCCCTTTCAACCGGCATTTCAGTTCGCATTTGAAGCTTCTCTCAACGAGCTGAGGGAAACTTTTGATCACTTGTTACAATTTTGCTTATTCAGATAAGTTGCTGTTTTACCTTCCTAGATATATATTTTGATATTTTAATATATTTATCATTCTTTAAAATTATTTTTGTTTTATTTGATATTGGCATTTCTTAACAAGATGAGAAAAATAGTGAAATAATTCAAATATAAATTTATAAAATAATCATTGTACAATAATAATATTTCTAAAAGTTTTGTTGATACAACATTTAAGAATCAATAAAATACAAGAAAAATGCGATGTATTAAATTTTTCAATTCTCTCTAGCTCAGACTTTTCAGAAAAGAATATGTCGGGTAAAGGCTTGCTTGAAGCTGAAATTTCCTGGAAAATATGAGGGAACATTTTTCAAGAAAGGCGTGAATAACGATCGAAATATTTTTCCGCTTTTTTAAACGTACTCCACGGTTTTCTCGCTTTGCTCTTCAGCCGACCAATCCCCTCTGATATGCCTTGCTGATTTTCTTTGTTCCCCCAAATGAAAGCGTTTCAGGATCTCAGCATAAAATTTATCCACCCCTTCGGTTAAGCAGCCATATACACCTCTTCTTACTTCACGGGATGTACGATAATCTTGGTATTCCATCCTCTAATTTCGCTTGGTTGGCGATCCCATTACTGAAATTTTATACGAGAAGAATGTCGCAATAGTTGATATATTCATAAAATGTACGAACCGGAAAACTACATAAAATAAATTAAAAAAGTAGAGTAAAGAAAACATCCGTAAAAATAAATCTTATAAAATGTAAAACACGTGATAAAATATTTAAGATAAAGCATAATAAATATGTAAAATATACAAATATGTACATAAATATATAAAACAAGAAATATTTTTCTACTAAACTATCCTCGAAGAAAATATCATGGATTCTACAAAAATCTCACAACGGAAATGTCACGTACATAACAATAAATACAACAAATGCAGAACAGCATGTTACTTTGTGAATATGTATATGAGAATAAAACGTAATGTTCTATTTTTCTAATAAATTCAGCAAAGTTTAAAGCTCTTATCACATCATATGTTCTTTAAAAGAATTTGGAGCGTGTTAATAAAATATGTAAGATAATTCCGAGGTTATATATAGTGTTCCGCTGAAAAGAGATCTCGGGATGGAAAGGAACCAGACCTGACAGAATCCGCGTGACAAATAACTGTTACAAATGCTAAGCCATAATTTCTCGCCCCTCCGTGCTGCGCCGGCATGACAACCGGGAATGAGAATCATGGGAGTATTGCAGAATGGTAAAGAGGGCGAAAAGAGATACGCAGAGGGATCGTAGCTCGGTCGGCAAGCCACTTGTGATTACGTCGCGATAATAAACGTCACACCGATATAAACTCGATTTCAGTGTACCGATAGGATGCAGATACAATGGTCGTCTGGAATTGCGATAGAGTGTGCGTAAATCAAGCATTGTGTGATTTTGTGCCTTTGTTTGTAAAAGATTGGGAAATATGGCTATAAAGTGGAGACGAATTTATTGAGTAGCTATATTTTGTATTAAAGTTGAAAGACTTATAAGAAATAAGAAATTATATATAATTAGATTTTCCTAATTTTTTTTTATATAAATATATGCGTGATCAACTTTTAATCTTGGTTATTAAATAATTGCGGAAATTTATTTTAAACAAATCAACATGGAAGTAGAAGAGTAAGTCAATATGTTAGAAATCGTAATATCGCGGGTACTTAATTACATATTACGCAATATTTATCGACCATATCTGAGTGAAAATAGAAAGAAGCGAGACCGCTTACGACCGACAAAAGGGGTTGGTTTAGGTTGAATACCGGTTGCAAAGGTGAAACGGGAAGGTTTTTACGAGGCAGTAATAGCCGATAAAGGTGAGCTTGTGCTTCTACCATCGATACTCACTCTGCTACTGTACCTAAGTGGCTGCTCGACAGTACCTACTTGTTGTCGTGTACTTTTTTTACTTTCTCTCATTAGTTTGGAATGGAATACTTGGAATACTGTAAGTCGTTCACGCATTTTCTTTATCGTCACATGTCTCGTTTATATCATTACGTCTGATATTCGCACCGAAGCGCCGCGGGATATCAGAAATTCATTAGAATGTCGTTTTAATAAATATCTTAAGGAGCAGCTCTCGCATAAAGATATCGACTCGCTTTAAAACGAGATAAACAGCAAGAGAGGCAATGATAAGCTAATGAATTCTACAAACGTAGTTTCTATTAAAGAACATCATCATATAGATTTGGTTACGTTGCTGATGAAAAGAACATTATCGTAATTTTAAATTTAAATTAATCTCTTTAAATCTTAAATATTTTAATTATCTTCACGCAGAAACACAATCCACACATTTGCAAGATAAGAATTTCTTCAACACTTTTTCAACGCTTTCTTAAAAACACAATTCGGGTTATGTATATTGACAGCGATCAGTTAATACGTCTCGACCGCTACTTCACATACAATTTTTGCAGGAGAAAGAATTAGACATACACAGCATAAGAAAAGAACAAAGAGCGTCTGCTACAACTCCGATTTCGTTGTTCGCAGGAGCGAATGGAATGCGCAGGCGCGGGCGACAGACTTACACGCGCTACCAGACGCTGGAGCTGGAGAAGGAATTCCATACGAACCACTACCTCACCAGGCGGAGGCGGATCGAGATGGCACACGCACTCTGCTTGACAGAACGGCAAATCAAGATCTGGTTCCAGAATCGGCGAATGAAGTTGAAGAAGGAGATTCAGGCGATCAAAGAGTTGAACGAGCAAGAGAAGCAAGCGCAGGCGCAGAAAGCGGCGGCAGCAGCAGCGGCGGCTGCGCATCAGCAGCAAGGGGGCGGCGGGGGTCCTGAAGGGGGCAACTAGGGGTACGCCCTGCATCGGAGCCCCCCAGATCACCCTACCAACAATCCACACCACCCTCTGTTAGCACCGCAATGTACGCAGCTATATTAAAGGTAAGTGATTTTCATAATTTTTTCGGCGAGAACTTCTCCGAAAGAACTTCTCCAGAAGACAGTTATTATCGTTGTCTTCGCAATCGCAATCCAGTATGTTTGCGAGAAAATAAAGAGGATGCGCAACAGTTAGCATCATATGTTACACATTAAAATAATAACAGCCGCGTGAATTCTGAAAAGCGTTGTTGAAAACAAAAGTGGAGTTTTTAGCAACGCTGGACAAAAATTAAACTCAGTCGTCGGGCTTAATGAGGATAAACCGCGTGCAAACGTGTCTTCATAATTTCCTAAGTTATGCCGTTCGCGTGTGTTTACTTGGCGTTGAACATGCGCCCCAAGGGAACGAGCAACGACGCAAACTTGAGATGTTATGTTGCGTTTATTGTATATATATCGCCTCTTTGCCGGTGGAGAGCAGAAAAATTCTCGGTTCTATCGTGGTTGCGCATACATTCCTTTATATAATACGCTCAAAGTGATCGTCGAATAAAAACAAACTATGACGATTTGTATCGCAAATAGTATAGAGCTGCACAATCAGATATTATTAGGTACACACAAAGCCGACGAAAGAAAAATAAAACGATAGATACGTGCCATAGACCTGAAACTCGAAGGCGTGTCACTCAAAAGAAAAAAATAGAAAGCAGTCAGGCAAAAAAGACCATGAAAGCGGCGCCAATTTTACTGCCCTAGAAAATCCGTTGCATAATTCGTATTTTTTGTTGGGGATCGACCATGTAGTCATAGAAAACAGACTGACCCTTCGAATTGTTCGATTCAGATAATAGTAGCTATTAAAGGAAACGTTTTTTTTTCGCACTTTTACAAGATTTATTGCCGGCACGACTCTGGCGTTTACGATCGTGTTTAAGCTAACAAAAAAGGAACATCAGAAATACTTTTGAAAATCACTATACCAATTTTAGGAAACTTTAGAAAAAAATTATACATTTTTCTGATTACTATTCAGAGAGAAAGAGAGAGAGAGAGAGAGAGAGAGAGAGAGAGAGAGAGAGAGAGAGATATGTATATATATATATATTTTTTACGTTTCACGTATTTTCTAAAACGAAACATTTTTATTGTTACCTATGAGGAGATTTAACTATTTTTTTCAAGTATAGTTTTTATATATAAAATGCCCATCGCAATAGTCGTCAGAATTTTCTAGTCGTTCCTAAAAATTTGATAAAAAACTATCAATTGTTTAAAAAAACTCATTATTAAACTGTTGGAAATTGCTCGTAAGTTATATCAATTATTTCATTAAATGCTCTATATAATTTAAAAGATTATTTCTACTATCTCGTACGATATAATATAAACTTTAGAATATTAACTGTTACAAAAGAAAATATTGGTTATCGTGTACTTTTTTAATTTTTCTAGATATTTAAAATATTCGCGATATAAAGGAAATAGATAGAAAACTTCGATCGAAACTTCTTATTCTTCGAAACCTAGCGGAACGTTTGCTATCTCTTTTTCGGTATCTTCAGGCGACGAAGAAGTTCGAACATAAATTTTGCCCCGACTACACGTAATATTACGGTAGCAAGGCGATTTCTCGATTAACTCTGGACTGCGCCGTAATTGTACGCCACTGGAATCATGATTAAATAACTCTTCATCGTTGATATTTATGTGATCGTGCTTATTTGATCGTGCTTATTTGATCGTGCTTATTTGATCGTGCTTATTTAATCGTTCTTGTCAGGATAATCATATATTTAAAATCATTATTGCTAACGTGTCATCGTTACAGCCCGTGTCATCATTGCTTTCTTTATTAAACGTTCCAATAAACGGTTCTTAGACAATAAATATTACGTTATTCTAACTATATATTTATTGGAATGCTCAGAGATGAATTGTCAATCTCTACTTAAAACATATATTTTATAACGAAAATCTGGTTCTAAATTGTTCATGCTACATTTTTAATATATTAGTTGATATGATTAATAAATCTGCTCGAATATACATTTGTATATAATGACGATGTTTTGTGCTTAAGCCGAAAAACGTTTTTTTTGCAAGTTTAATTTCTCAGTCAATTTATTATTATATAAATGATTCATTAAATTCATGCAATCAATTGAAACTTAGTCAAGTAACAAATTACGAAGTAAATGCCATTAATTAAATTTGCAAATCTTATTTAGTTCTGATTTCCATTGCTATTGCAATATAAACTACAAATTACATAAAATTATAAGTTATGTAAAAATCTTATATTTATTAATATCTATATGTCACTTAACATGACGAAGCACCTAGAACATTTATAACGCTTGTGCAATACACTAGTGAAATATGTTTACACTAGTGGAATAGTAAATATTTGGGGAGAGCCCATATTACTAGTGATATTTCTACTATAATGGCTACTATGAAAAATGTATTCTTTCCTTATCTTCGAAAAAATTTATAATCATTATATATTATAAAAGTATCTATTTTCTTTCTTTCAAAACATATGATTCGTTATATATATTTTTTACTTTTCTTTGTTATATCTTCAAATTTATCTCGTGCATATATTTATGACTAATTTATAAAAAAAGATGAACTGGTTGGCTTAGAAAATTAGAACTTAGTAATTTATTAAATTCTATTTCATAAAAAAATAATATTAACATTATATTAATATCGAACGTACTGTAAACAATATTGGAACTCAAAAGTTGTCAAATTACCGCCAAAATATACTAAAATGTATTTTATATTGTTATGTATGGTATATACGCGTAACAGTGAAGGATACAGCGATGCCATCTATTGGTTTCAGAAGGTTCCGGATTAGTTAGTTATGGCTGCTCGTCGTTCCGCTTGTGGGCGTGGTTAAGTTGTAGGTGTTTATTTTCTAAAGTTGGACCGTCATTCTCTGTGCCAATTTATTGCTGTTCCATGACACAAAAATTACTGTATATTATCTAGGTTACTTTTCAGTAAATATATGTAAAACATGCAAAAAACGTCAAATGTAACTTAAAATTTAACTCCTATTCCGTGTAGTACTCCGCGAAGTATTTATTTCAGAACCACTTAACCGTCTTCATGATAGGTGGCAGCACGGATCGGATTTACTCGGTCGGCAACATTTTGTCTACCTTACCGATCTCAATCGGTACATAACTTAATTTGGAGGTTGCTCCTACCCACCAAGCAAGATATACTGAACGGTAGTTCGATGATCGCCGGTAATGCGCTTTATGGTTTGTTTTTATCGACGTGGCTATATAGTAACTCATGATCTTCCTGCTCCCGGCGCGCAAGTGGTGTTAGAGTTGGTCGTACAAACGCGCACCGCTGAGTCGGCAGGCTATTCACATTTTCCCTGTGAATGCATTGTCGGAGCTATCGGTCAATAATCCAATAAACCCGTGACTCGTAGTCCCATGAAGAGGAAGTAAAGTATCGACACTACGTGATTTTATTGCGCAGTAAAACGTGATTTCTGCAGATTGATGCGCGATCACTGTCTCTTCTAACACCCGTTCGCTTATTCGCCTGTCAAATTCACAGGGTCAGGATTTTTTATTGGTTGTAAAGGAAGACGTTTTATGATCTATAAAAGCATTTATAGCGCTCGAGTAGTTTTACGTTTTTACACCCCAGTTATATCCACTGCCTTTTCCGCGGCCTTTTCAAGGGCGGCCATTGGCACGCTCCCTCTCTTCCCTTTTATTCTCTCTCTCTTTCTCTCTCTCCCTCTCTCCCTTCCTCTCTCCTTCTCTCTCTTTCTCTCTCTCTCTCTCTCTCTCTCTCTCTCTCTCTCTCTCTCTTGACTGCCTCTGAGATTTACAGGTTACGCTCTCGGTAACACCTCGTAAACTTGGTTTAACGACTTCAACCGGGCCTAACTGCTTCCTTCCTGCAATTAGACCTTGACCTATCTTGAACGCGGTCGTCCTAGAAAAATTTTAAGATAGCAGTTGCATGTCAAATCTCCTTTGTGATTTCTTTAAAAAATTTTGATACGTTCTTTCATTCATTAAAAGATAAGAATAAGCTTTTGATTTTTCAATAATCAGTTGCTTAATATAGTACTCCGCGCGAATTATTTTTTTTTATAAAATTATATATTTTTATAACCATTAGTATATAATTATTTAATAGTATATAGTATATAATTAGTTAAATAAGCATCTCTTTTTCGACAGAGTGCGTATAACAGCACTTAAAATAAAAAAGAAATAACTTTATATACATCAATTAAAAATTCTCGAGATGATAATTAAAATTCACATAGTTTTGTACCAGTATATATGTTTTTGCCGTAACAAGAATTGTATATTTTGATAAAAAATTATTTAATTCTTTTTAATATTTCCTGTTCTTAAGCAGTTTTTTATGCAAGTAATACAGGATTGCATTAAAATAAAAATGGAACTGGTTAAATATTATTTGACTACGCTTATGTAACATATATTATTTACTCAATTTATCGGTTCTCCATTTATATGTTTTATGATCCTATGACGGAAATAATATTTGATTAAAAATTCGCGTTGTGTGTATACACATTTCCTTATTATGATACAAACGAAATGTGCATAATAATTTTTTGTTCGCCATGAAACGTAAAACATTTTCAAAGACGACGTATGTGTCGGACACGGATATGATGAACTAGAAGTTCTGCGAGCAAATGAGGAAAGTAACATAATACAAAAAGAAGTGAAAAGCTTCACGGTACTTCGCACACTTCCGCCTCTTTCAAAGTTTATATAGCCGAACAACCATCTCACTCACCGACGTGACTCCCTGCAGAGTGTATCACAATTAGCTGGCACCTTTCACCCCCTACCATCATCATACCCTACTCAACTCTCATAAAATCTTCCCCTTTCTTTATGTAAAATCTACACAGACGCAATCCAACACAAGCAAATTCAGTGAATTTTCATGCAAACTTTTGAAAGCTTATTTCAATATTACGATGAATAAGTAGGTTGCTGTTATCTCAGTAGTTCCAAAAATTCACAAAAAAAACAGAATACTTAGTTACTTTATGAGGGATTGTATCTACATAGAGAAAGAATTGAACAAATTATCATTCTTTATTTTGTTTGAACAGCATTTTATAACAAAAAATTATAATAAAAATTTTTGAAGATATTTATATTTATATTGTTAACAACGCGTATCTAGTCTTACAGTTTTCTGTATAAATCCACTTTCCGGATTCTCTTTGAAAAAATGTTATAACTGATATATATATGAAAGTTGCACAATTAATTGCCACGCCTTTCATTGGAGATGCAAACGTGGATCAGGCAGTATTTTAAGAAAAGAACTTTGTTCTAGTTGTACAAATTTAAGAAGAAATAGATGCGGAAAGGAGAGAACGTGGTGGCAGCGTAGTTAGTTATATGCCGTGCATGTTGGCAACAGTGCCGGTGTGTTTTTCATTTTCTTTATATCACCCTTGACGCTCGTAAAACCATTACCCGTGACCGAGCGAACGCAACTTCTGTATAAGCCCTATCGGTGTGTGCGTATAAACGCATGGAGTCGAGACGGTCTTTGATGATACTGAAACTTCTTTTACTTGTGCACCCCCGTAGGTCCGTAAGACGAACCCAATTTTCTCGGCGACGGCAAGCCGACCCCTCAGATTTGTTCGACATGCCCACGGGAAGGATTCAGTTTTCTCGCTAGCGATTGGTTACATCTTGTCGGCTGTTATTCTTTGATAGCACGTTAGTTCCAAGTATTTTACTTGGTGGTGTGCGCCAATCTCTCAATTATAAATTTTGATGCATCTTGGAAAATTCAATAAATACTCAAAAGTTATTTAAGATCTTAATGTACTTTAACACTCTTCACGTTGATATTAATATAAAACTATATTGTTCAAATGTCCTATCGAACTATTATTATTACTATCGAAATATTATTATTACATTATATCCTTTATACAATATTATATCTCTCTACAATATTATATCTCTCTTTTATTTTCTTCTTATCAGATTATATATAACAACAAAATTGCAGAAGCATAAAAAGTATGTAAAAATTTAGTGAAGTATTTCAGTTTTGTTATGTGTAAATAAGTCAGTTTTTCAAACTCTTTCTCTCTCTCTCTCTCTCTCTCTCTCTCTCTCTCTCTCTCTCTCTAGTGCATCCTAAAGTGGTCCTTTTTGCAAAATATTTTCTTATTGTTCTTTTTCTCACCTTTCTCTCTTCTCTCTTTTGCTCCTACTCATTTCTAGCAAGTGATTCATCACAAACGTCGCCCTCTCTCGTTTCTCTGACTAGCTGGCTAGCTTCGTTTCTGGCTTTTTGGTCTCTGGGCACTTCGCGCTCTCTCTTCCTCTCCCCTCTCTTTCCCATCCTACTCCACATTCCTTCAAGCTTCTTCACATACTCTTTTTACTTTCATATTGAGGGGAGTCGTACCAGAATATAATTCATTTTTATCATTATATGCATACTTTCAGTTTTTTTTGTATATGCTAAAGTTGCTTCATTAGTCACCGAATTTATTGAATTTAATTTTGATATTGTATAAAATGTGTTATCAAATCTTTCTTTCATTTCTTCTTTTATTATACTTATGACCGTGCTTCTCCGCCTCTTTCGCACGGTACAATTTTTAAATACAATTATTCAATTTCGCAATTTGTGTATAAAAAAGATAATTTTAATTACGGAAAACACAAGTTGCATAAAATAGACGAATAAGCATCGGTCTAAGCCAACTTAAACTAACTAATCCTAACTAAATTAAACTTAATCTAATTTAATTTAATCTAATCCACCGCTTCATAAAACTGTTTCATTTTCAACGACCACGACGTTCTTACATTACTTATTACCAATCCATCACCAAGCGTGCGAAGACCGTCCTATTCGAAATATCTATGCGTTTTGACCAGTATTGAAGAACGAGTGTCGTTCGTCTCGAAAAGCCCACCTTCAGCCCGGAAGGTGGGATTCCGGTAATTCGGTCATGGAATGGATGGGCGATGTCGAGAGAGCGAGAGGGACTGTGAAGTGGGCCGGGTAAGGGGAATAGGGTAGGGACGGGAGGGCGTTCCACGGCACCCTGCATGGGGTAACTTGCAACCTCACGCGACACTAGAGCCATCTATATCCCTGGAGATTTATGAGTTCCTGGTGCAGCGGCTGCTCGTAGCAACTACACGCTATACAATATCGGTATGGCGCGGTGTTGGTGCTGCCCCCTGTCGCGAGACGATGCGCGTTGTTGCTCCGCGGGGGTTTCGCGCAATTCACGCTCGTGAACGTCGTCGTCCGGACAAAAAACTCACGATTCGATCTCAATCCGAACCTCTCCTCGAACCTCCCACTGTTTCATCAGTTAGGGCTTCGACGATATATGCCTCATTAGTCGTACCTGTCCTATATGTGCCTTAGACAATATTGTAATATATGATATATCATCGCGATTTTTCTCCTCCATGATACATTTATTTCACGCGACTTTTGCAGTTCCAACCTCTTTACTTTATATATATATATATATACATGATATTTATTTCTCTTGTTACTAAAAGAGATAAAATCATCAGTAAACTACACAGTTTCTCTTCACGTATAATTAAAAATTATACAGCACAGGGACAAAGTATCGATATACATTTTCACTTACAATCCAGCAAGTACACATGGAAAATCGCAAACTGAGATTTTCGAACGGCCCCCTAGACGCAGCCGTCATTTCGCACTCCGCGTGATATTCTGCAGATATAACCAACGAGTATGGCCAGAGGTGGGGATTTACCCGTAGTGCTATGCGAGTATGCGACTACGACGAGGATACCTACCCATACCTACCTACACTTCCGCACACCATCCCGCTTCAGCACATCATCTTGATGCGACCGTTTTACGAGCAACCTGTGGTAACGAGAGGGATAGATAATAACCGCTTCGTGCCCAATTCTCAACCCTTTTTTCTCTTCTGCTTTCACTCCTCTCTCTTTCTCTCTCTCTCTCTCTCTCTCTCTCTCTCTCTCTCCCCCTTCCCCTCTTCCTCTCCCTCCCTCCTTCCTTCTCTCTTTCTCTCTTTCCCTCTCTCTCCCCCCTCTCCCTATTCTCACTTTCTCTCTTTCTGTCTCTTTCACTCCTCACACGCATATACACGAGCATACCCATGCGCATTTTTCGGATTAATTCATGTACAATAAAGCAGCTAGGATTAGTTGTTTTATCTTTTTGCGTCTTATCTTGAGTATTTCTCACGATTTTTGTAAATAAATCCCACTAGTATCGTATTGTAAAGGAAAATTGGCTGAAATTAATTTGGAACAGAGGACAAGTGAAATCCCTCTCTCTCTACGATATGGATATGCTATGCCCGATATCTATGCTATAATCGAATTCACTTTGTTGTTTTTGATATATTCCAGAAATTGTAACTTGAACGTTCGTCTCTTTTCAAAGCAGATTGCATCTTTTCGCGAATTACGCGGAATGTATAACGTTGTTTTGCAAGGCCACATCGAGAATCGTGTTTCTGGTTTTTGCGAGTTTTAAGTATGAGAATTTATGGGAAGCTTAAAAGCTCCAGCTTCCTTCAAAAATCCTGATAAATGCGCCCGGAAAGGATGCTCGTGTACGTACGCCAAATTCAGTTTCACGGCATCGCGGACTCCTGGAAAGGCGAAGTGATTCTAGGCCGAAGAGCAAACACCGACGTAAATGAAATACAAGCGTGCGTAAACAATTTCCGAGTAACAGGGGTCGTGCAAGTCTTGAAGAAAATCCTGAAGAATTGTCTCCTGGACTCGGTAATATGTTACTTACGTTGATTCATCTGTAACGAAAGCGAATAAACTTATGGTTAAAAAAGATATTTGTCACAAGTGCTTTGAATATACATATATGCCAGTTGACGTAATGATACGTCTTTTTTCACAATCTACTAATTAGAAATCTTCCGTAGTTCTTACTTTATTAATCTAATAAAAAAGAAGAAACGGAAAGGATTAAATTAAAACCGGTAATGCAGAATGTTAGTTCTCGTGCCACGTAAAATCCTCCTAACCCCTTTCGCTCGTCGCGTGAACTATTGATATTCTGAGATACCAACACCATCAACGGTCAAACTCAACGTGCGTGTTACCGGACAAGGCACCACGTGCATTCATTCTATTACAGAAGAAGCTGAACAAGCGTCCACGACTCGATCCGCCGCGTCCCTAACACGCTGAATTTAATTTATTTTACGTATTAATACATGAACATTCCGGAATTAAAAAAAGAAAATTGATCACGCATAAAAGTTTCGCTCTCTCAAATGGACTGAAAGTCCTGAAGGAAGAAATTTTTAATCTTGTGTTGTTTCAAGCAATATGATGATAAAATATATTCACATTTTGTCATTGTTGTATATTATACATATAATACAGTAAAGTAACATAATATAATATAGTAACAACTACAATATAATATAATATTTCTTAACGTAACACATAACTTGATATAATACCTAGGAAAAATTCATTTAATAATTTAATGATTTCACTGCAATTTCCGTTGCAATTACTACAGAATCACGTCTGTCGCTCATTAGAGAATTGCTATACCCCTTAGAAATATTCGCTAACATGCGGAATGAGCTGACTTCGTCGTTTCTGTTCCTGTTTCAGGTGAGTGGCAAGCTGCACCCGCTGTCTCTGTAATGCCAAATAGATAGTCGATGTGCGTATCTGTCGATCGTCAATTTATCGGTTGCGGCGAATCGGATGCTGCACCCGGTGAGTGACGAACCTCCCCCACCATGGCTACCTCCCGTAGCTCACTTTGACCGATATGCTCCCCAGACCAATCAGTATCCAAGCACACAGTGTCATCCGTATAAGCCTAGCGCTGTCGTAGTCGTTCCCCTTTCTGGTCTCTCTACCTGTAGTTTCTGCTTTGGTACAGTAGCATGTAGATAGAGGTTGAATTGTCGGGGGTGGCCAAAAAAAAGGAAAAAGAAAAAACCGAAAAATCAGTGAACGTCCGCGGATTCAGGGTGTCGTTTGCAGAAAATCGACCGAAAACAGAGTCTTATTCTCGACGTACGTTGCGGTGGGTTGTGCGACAGTTAGAAACTAAAATACGTAACGGAAAGGCTACAACTACTCATAGGGTTAAAAGAAAAGATAGATCGTAGAAGCATCTAAACTCTCGATGAACGAGATTGGGCTGATGCAGAATAATTAGATATTTGTGACGAGCTCAGCGGAAGTATGACTCTTTTTTATAACATAATGTACAAAATTGTTATAAACACACTTTTCGCAAGTCTCTCTTTTATTTTGTTGCTTATGTTTTCCCTCGAAAATGCGCACTCAGTACATCCTCATGAGAGAGAGAGAGAGAGAGAGAGAGAGAGAGAGAGAGAGAGAGAGAGAGAGAGAGGGAGAGAATGGGAGACAGAAGGAGAGAAAGAGAGAGAGAGAGGGAGAGAAAGAGAGGGAGAGAATGAGAGAAAGAAAGAAAGAGCGAGCGAGCGAGCGAGCGAGCGAGCGAGAAAGAGAGAGAGAAAGAGAGAGAGAGAGAGAGAGAGAGAGAGAGAGAGAGAATTGGAGGAAGTAAAATAGAATGACGCGCGATTACTGTTGATGTTATGTTTTTGTTATTTTTTTATTACCTGCGAAGCGATACGAGAAGACGTTTATATTATTACCGATTTCGCTCTGCCAACGGTGACTTTCGCTCATCCGTTATAGAAAGACTGTTTTATTTCCATTTTGTTATTAATTAGAGCTATTACTCGAAGACGTAATTACCGGTAGCAGGCGAAGTTAATGATGGAAACGTGCTTCTTTTGATTGGTACAAAATATATATGTTGATATTCGATAATTTTGTTAATATTGTATAGAAACGTTTATGATGTGCGTCTGCTTAGTACCTGCTGAAGCGGCCAAGAGTGCGCGGTCTCGAGATGGATACCTCTTTTAAAATAAATACGGAAATAATTTTTTAATCGACATTATTCTCTGAGAGAAATATGGGCGAGGATAAATTGCAAATGGACATAACATATGTTATCTACACTTAGTGTACCTAGACGCCTACTCTGAAGAAAAAAAAAAGTGTACGGCGCTATCCTATACAGTAATTTTATTCTAGTTAATGAATGTATACGAATAGTCGCTATAAGAGGAAGCGAGAATAATACGTAAACGCAGTATTTCTAAGAAGGAACGTAATGTTAACAATTATTTATTTTGTGGATCTCGCGGAACGAATACTTCATTGCTCTGCTGTGCTATACATTATCGATTAGACATGTAGGGATAGGTGTTACCTATGTGTAGTGGTAGTTATTTGTGTAAATGTTTCGCGTGGCACAGAGATTCTTCTTTTTTGTAATATATTAGAATATCAGTTGTTCACAAATCTGAATCCTGATTATATGTAATCCGACAGCGACCAGGGCCGCATCAGCTGCCTAATGACTAAGGTTATACGTCGGCGTTCTTAAGAGACGGTTGTCGTTTCGAACGCTATTGTAATATCACATTGATTATACGATTGCTAAAAAAAAAAAAACAATAAATGCGATATAAGCTTAATTATACGTCTTACGCTTTTTTGCCTGCGGCCCTGGCCGCAGCAATCCATCCTATCAGATCCACTTTCCTCGATCCCATTGTCCGTCATTGTTCGCGATACGAGTCGAATGTTAGGTATATATCGATATCACGATTGTTACTTTCAATTACGTCACAAGAACAATTAGCTTCTGCAATTGCACTATAGTACCTTCTTGTCGCCGACAAGATGCGTATATATATCTACATCGATCTGAGAACGTCGTCGACGGAAAATCGCACGCGGACGCGATTGTCATTTTCTTTCTCCGTCGAGATAATTATCAATTCCACGACGATATGTGGCGAACGTGCGGCAGTAGCTCTACGACGCTTAAAGCACTCGTTAGGCGGCATCGCAGTATAGTGAAACCGCCTTAACGGGCGCCGCGTGATCCGGAGTTGAGCTTTCTACGGACAGCCATAAGTCTCACGATGCTCCGAGATATTAATATGTTATTGCGGAAAGACGCCCTCATGAAAGTCGACAAGGACTACAAAAATATGTCCCGCGCGTCTCGGCATCTCCAAGGGTAGCACACACTTTCAACATAGCGGGGTGGATACCGCTATCGTTCGCTATTCCTACATAGCGCGCGGCTAACGCACACACGAGCACATACACACAAAGTCACGTACTCACACGTATAGACGGAAGCCCTCGTTACTATCGCACACGTAGCGGAGAGTGGTCGGAGGCAGAATTCAGCAGACGCCATTTGTATTAATGAAGCTCCCGACAATGGTGCACGCCCGATGAATTATGTACCTACGTTCGAACCGAACGAAGGTACATAACCGATCTAGGCGTAAGTTTGCTATTGGCCTCACGCAACACTTCCTGTTCGGTGATCCTTAATTATAACATTGCGATCCTCGATCCCTTCATTTAGGCAAAGCTGGTCCTGCCATTTTTCGGAAACTATACATTGAGGTTCTAGTGTAATGCATATACGTCATTGGAATGCACATATTTTACTGAATATTTTAGTGAACGTTTTTATGTGTCTGGAGATATTTTAGATTTAAATACAAAATTATTTTAGACAGAAAAGCACATAAAATATCAGGCACATATTCATGTGACACGGGTATTAAAGAATCTTAAAAAACTTAAGTTTGCAGATATTCTATTGAATTATTAATTTTGCAGGTTTCTGTCATATCATTAATTATAATCATTTATGCATTGGACATTAGTTTTCTAGTTTCATTCGATCGAGTAATTATTTTATATTGCACCTTGAGTTATTTACCGCTAATATCCGCCAGAGAATTGACTAGAAATTACAATCCCCGCCCTGTAGAAAACATAATTCCGATCGAAACCGGAGGCATTAGCTGCAATCTATTACGCAAAAAGACGTAGCGAGGCATCCATCTCGCCATGGCGTAGATAAAACGACCGCTTTACTTTGGATTACAGGGGGAGCAATTTACAGCAGGCGCAAGAGCACCTGTTCGTTCTTGAGGAGATGGAAAGGTGGGGACGCTCACAACGCGAAGGGTAGTCTTATAAGGGTGTGGGAATAGCGTGCTTTGCAGACGTTGCGGTAATTGAATCCCAGTAAGTCCCTCTATATAGGAGTATCCACTTAAATGTATAACACTACCCTCCTCCTTTCACACCATCTTTCTTTCGCTTCTTTAATCTTTCCACCTTTCTCCCACATCGTGCAATGATTTTTTCATCAACAATTGAGTATTATCAAATTTATCATTTGCATGTTTCAATCTAACGAAACTTCGAATAACTTTCGAATGACGCGTGTTATAAATAAATATATATATATATATATGTGTGTGTGTGTGTGTGTCTCCTCGATAAAAATGAAGTTTGTCTCTTTGAACTTTCTCTCTCGACATTTCTGCCGATAGTACATCATCCCTTTGTCGATGATGACATGTTTTTTCACACACACACACACATACATAGTGCTGTACCACAAGTATACACACATGCAAAAACGTTGACGTTCTTATTCTATAGAAAGAAATCAGTAATGGGTTTAGCTAGGTGGAAACTCATTCTGCCATATTCCTCGAGTTTACTATCCCAGCAACGAAATCCTGATGTACGAGCTTCACGTTTCAGCAGCTCCTTGGCTCGGGCCGACTGATATGAATGTGTTAGGTGTAGATGAGTCTAGCGTGCTCCGCCCTCATATAATTACTTCACGCTCCCCTCCGTAGCCTGGTGCCCTCAGATACTTCCTCCCCTCTTCTTCTTCCTCCTCTCTCACACTCTCTCTCTCTCTCTCTCTCTCTCCTCCCTCTTCCCCCCGCCTTTCTCTCTCTCTCTCTCTCTCTCTCTCTCTCTCTCTCTCTCTCTCTCTCTCTCTCTCTCTCTTTCTCTCTCGTCAGTAGTATTCTAGCAGTGTTTCTATACCATCGCGCTCTTGCAGGGTGGTTTGCTCGTAGTTGCATGCACCGCTCGCAAATACCATCGTATCCTGTGCGCTTGGTATAACAAGAGGGTCGGAGGAGGATTCACTCGGGTTTGAGGGGGTGTTGTGCAAAGGGGAGGTTATTAGGCAACGCAGCACCTCATCCCTCATCCACGTAACCGCGCCGCAGCGTGTATTATGTAACAACACGGAAACGAACTGTGGGGTGGTTGGTTGGCCGAAAGAGAGATGGGGAACGTTTAGGAGTAGGATAGAGAAAGAGAAACTATGCGAAAGCTTCGCTGATGTAGCTCTCGTTGCTACAAATATTACATGTCTTTATAACGACGCGCTCGTAACTCTCGGCCGGTATTTGTTACTTTCCACGAATGCTAAATCATTTTCGATTTCAGCACAAATCACGCTTCGATAACTTTCAAATAGTCTAAAAGAGTACGAGGAATCGAGACCCGTTAACGAGTTGTAGCGAGTTTCGGAATTGGATTTGCCGCGATTGCAACGTATTTTTATTGTATTGCACGGTAATATGATATTCCTCAGAATAAATTCCGTATGAACAAATCTTCCCGCCGATATACGAGTCTGAAACTTTAATAATGGCTGCTAAGTTCGGAGAGCACATACATTTCGCCGCATTACCAGAAATCTTAATTTACAATTGAGTTCTGGCGGTTTAACGGACATTTTGCGGCCAATATAATGTCTAATAATTCTAATAATTCGCCGGTTTAGAGACGAATGATGGGAGAAAAGGGTGGCGGTGCATAGGGTGAGAACGTTTCCTGGAGCCGTGCCCGTTAGGGAGGGAAGTGAAACCAGGATGAAACGAGCGAGGAGTGAGAAAGGGGACGTGGAGAGAAGGAGGTACAGAAACGAGAGAGAGGAGAAGAAGGAACAGGTCGACCGAGAGTATGGGCCGAGGAAATGGAGGGAAGGCCAATTAGAGGGCGGGAAGATTTATCTGCGGGCGACGGGTGTGCGGATAGTAAGGGGTAGGTTGGTCTTCTCTGCCTAGTGCATTTGTATTATTCCTTGGTTGGACAACTCCGTTCAAGACAACGGCGAGGTCCAGCTGTTATTGGCTGTTCCCGATCCTTTATGAATTAGTTGTTAACTTATCCTCGCGGTTCTGCTGGCATAACGGGGCAACTTATTCTTTAACGCGCATCTTGATATATAATAATGTTTTAAAAATCGTATGTAAACAAGCGTTTATAAATATATTATATTTCTTTATATATTTTTATATATTCTTCATATATTTTTATATATGCCGAATCCTAATTTATAAAGCATATTCCTTATTGGAAATTTGTAGGAAATAGTAATTACAAATGAAATAGATGATATTTTCTAGTGGATTTCAATAATTATTAATCAACAATATATAAATGT